TTTACCTGATTTCTGAAGGAATGCCTAAAGATGTTGTGTATTCTGCATGGCCTGACGTGAGCAGAGTTAATGCAAAATGGAGCGGAGTTTTCTTGAAGAATTTCTTTACTTTATTATTCACTTTATGTGAGCTTTTGTGCAGCGATTTAGATGGAGGATGTTGGTGCAGCCTGAAAGACGTCATATTCGATAATGTTAACGAAGATATTGACACTCGAGAAACAGTGATCAACCTGCTAAGTGACATGGGTCACAAGATCGTTACGGTGCCCCGCCATGTACAACGTTCATTGGAAGAGTTTCATTCTGGCTCTATCGAGGAAATTACTCCCAATTTGTTGAGGGAAAGTCTGTCCTATAAAGATACACACTACATCACWTTCTCAAGAGAGAAAAAGCTGTCTCTTTTAAAGTACATCTTGAGCGATTCCAAATTCGAAAACCTGGGAGATCTGCATCTTCTCCCTTTATCAAATAAGACATTCACTAAATTCCAAAGCTCTGATGTCATCTATGTTGACTCTCCTGAGCACCCAAGATCGCTGCTCCCTGGAATGGATGCAATGTTCCTTGATTCAGATATTGATGATTATGTTATGTATCAACTTAGAAATGCTGGACACCAAGGTAACTCTCATGATATTATTGTGATTTCTGTGTGAAAGCAAAAAGCTAGTGTTAGATCAGATTTAAAACACGATCGTCACCATTGAGACAACCCAACATTAGCAATGATCTCAGTTTCAATATCGCATCATAGACCGTCACTAGGTTTTGAAGCAAGGAAAGACAGATAGCAGCCCTACTTTATCCAACAGATGGCTTGCGCATGGTTAATAGCGACTAAACTCAGCAGTTACCTTCTTTTTCATTTTTCTTCATTTATCTTACTGTAATTTATGTTAATTAGTGTTGACGTTTCATAAGTTGTTTACAACATTCGCGTCCGTGTTGCCTGGCCTGCGTCTCGTGATTGTAATTCCCATACAACACGGCCGTTCATGTTGTAAACTATACTTAATATTTAAAGCTGTGTGGTTTCGGACGTTAATCCTTAAATTCTTTAAATTTATCTTTTTACACAACTGTTTCTTAAGAAAAACTGACGCAGCTCACACTAGTTTACCGCTTTTTTCCATCATTTTTGCTTACTAAGAGTTAATTTGGGTGCGCAATCCCTTTTTACACTGCGTTAGCCTCAATTGTGTTTGATATATGCATAAATTTAATTTAATCTCGTGAAAGTTCAAGCTATTTTTGAAAGTCATCTATGCTCACAGACATCTTGCATGCTCGGATGTTACTTAATAAATAGAGGATCTTGCATGTGCGCGCGGAGATACGGATTTTATCTTCGAGTGTTGAAAAGATCACGAGTAAGCGTAGCTGTTTATCGTATGATTACATTAAGGTGTTTCTTCGATCTTAATAAATAGCGCTTTGCGCGTATTTTTAAACTCCAACTACGTCGCAAATTTCGATTCCATTGCACTCAAATTTTTAAAGAAGTAACAGTGATTATCGATAATTCTTGTTGATAAATTAATTTACCAAAAAGCGAAGCCATTTGGATAAACGATGCAAAATAAAAACACCTTCATTTTTCTTCGAAATTAATTTTCTCGAAACTCATCGCAGAGATTAATTGTAATAAAATTTTCAGAATCATTTCTTAAATGATTGATAAATTTATTTGCCAAAAAGCGAAGCTATTTGGATAAACAATGCGAAATAAAAACACCTTCATTTTTCTTCAAAGTTAATTTTCTCGAAACTCACCGCTGAGATTATAATAAAATTTTCAGAATCATTTCTTAATAACATAATTGATATACTCACGAAGTTTCAATAAAATCTTTACGAAATTTTGAGAAATGGAGAAATATAATAATAATTATATGATAAAAGAATATATTTCATTATTTTGACGCTAGCAGAGTCAAAAGATATTGCTAAAAGGCTATATGTTCATGTCATAATTATGAATTTTCATTTTATCTTTAGGCTGGATTCAGCTTTGTCGTTTTGATGAAAATGTAATGAAGCAGTTTCTCCATAAATCATTGCCAGRTGACTGGATGGAGTCGAACGGGAACGTCATATGGTACCCAGGAAGGCATCAACATCCACCAGAAACATGGCTCAAGGAAGTGTGGCAATACTTAGCTAAGCATTTTAATGGCCCTAATGACCTGGACGCTTTTTGTAATGTTCCATTGATACCCATACAAGCCATATCGAACAGTGTGGAACTTGCACGAATCAAAAAGCCTTCCACATTGCTTTTGTCATCCTTCAACCGTGATGAGCTTGAAAATTCTGTTGTGGAGAAGGCGAGCGAGTTCGGAGCAACTGTCCTGAAGAACTTACCCGAGTTTGTAATTGGACATCGTGGTCTTGTACCTGACTACATCAACCCACCAAATCATCAAGGTGTTCTAACAGCACTCATGGTTTTTCAAAATAATCTGCCATCTATATCGTTGGATGTAAGGCCTTTGAGAGGGCTATTTTCTCAAATGAATTTGCCTACAGATTCTGATGCAGAAGTCAATTTTCTGAAGA